TAATTCCATAAAAATGTGAAGAAACCGTAAGACCTTCCTTATATATCACCCATTTTTTTTCCTAAAAAAAATATATTTATACATATCTAAAAAAACATATATTAAATGGGCTAAAATTTTGTGCTCGTGTTCATGTCAACCTATTTATGACACGTTTATTAAATGGATTATTTCAAGTTAATTTCTTGTTAAAGGGTTCGTGTCGTATTAGCCCTTTATTTAATCGTGTCTGGCAAGTTCAACTTTTTTTGTTACCTAAACCTATTTAAAGAAAACCTAAACCTTTTAATTTCGTGCAGATTTCATGTCGTGTTATTGTTTTGTAACTCAAATTACCAGTCATACTCTTAAAGGTAAATTCTTCATTTTTTAAATAAATTAGATAATTATCTTATCATGAAATTAAATAGGATTTATCAGAAACTGATAAAGAAATATCTTTGAAATTGAGTTTAGATATTTAGATATTTTGTTTTAAGTTATTTTCAATTCAAATAAAAGAAAAATTCATAATTAAATTATTTAATTTAAATTTCTTTTTTTTTTTTTAAAGTTGGAAGTGGTTGCACGACAACAATCTTCCCCAGAAAAGTAGATGCCCTTAACGTGAATTGTGGTTACTCCATGATACCACAATTGATGTTGTGGTTTAAGAGTTATTTGTTTTTAAATTAAAAAAAAATCCTATTTAAATGTATATATAAAGAGATGGCAAACGTAGGAAGTGATACAGTTTTGAAAGACTAGAGTAGGCAAGATAACGTAAGTGTCACCGATAGAAGATAAGGTGCGCATAAAAGATAAGGTGCGCGAAGGTCGTTTGAGGTGGTTCGGACATATCCAACGTAGTCCGCTATAAGCACCAATCCGTGCTTGGAATGACATTCTTATACCTAATACTATGAGAGGGAGGGGTAGACTAAGAATTACGTGGACCGAAGTTGTTAGGAAAGACATTCTAGATCTAGGCCTTCAGAAAAGTATAATTTCGAATATAGCCATGTGAAAAAGTGAAATCCATAAAGCCGACCCCAATTAAGTTGGAATTAAGGCTTGTTGTTGTTGTTGTTGTAAAAAAATTCTCAAAAACAGTCACATTTAATTTTTTTACTACAGTAAAAAGCTGTCATATAAAGTCACATCTAACTTTTTTACTACAATAAAAAGTTCTTACATAAAGTCACATCTCAACTCGAATTAGCGAACTAAACGACACTTAGGCCTCGTTCATTTCACCGATTCGAGTTTTCAGTTTTAAGTTTCTACAGTAAAAAATTCTCAGAAAATGTCACGTCTAACTTTTTCTGTTACAGTAAAAAATTCTTAAAAAATGTTAAATCTCAACTCGAATTTGCGAAGTGAACGAGGCTTTAGAATTCAAAGAGTCCTCTTATTCTCTTTAGTGTCCACCCACTTGGTACAAATCACTGATCCAGTTTACCGTAGAAAATTTGTTTGGTGGAGAATACCTTCGGTGGTTGGAACAATTTAAAGATAAGTCTGAAGGAATATTTTCATCTTTCTTGAACATTATGAGAGAAGATTTCTCAACCAAGATATAATTTTGAATCATATATATTTACTTGCAAGTTTTGATCTGCTTCCACTGTGGCATTTTAGAGATTAGTAGAAATGAAATATTTTTTAAATAATTTCAAAAGGTTTATTTTCAGATTTTCTGTTAATTAAATGCCTCATTTTGAGACTTGTCCCCTTCGCTTGCAAGTTCTTGTATAAAAAAAAAGGATTTTTGAAATATAAATGAGAAAAGTGGATGGTGATGTTGAGGATGTACAGTTTTAATTCTTCAAGGATGGAGATAATTGATGTTTTTCGGGCTGACTGTATACATTTTGAACAATTCGATGCTTACAGTAGTTTCCTCTTTAGTCTAACATGATGTTTTATGATGAACAGATATTTGGTGATTTAGAGTCAATAATATTTGCAATGTACCGATTCTAGGAATTTGCTTTTCCTCTTATTATTATAATGAGGAAGCTCAGTTTCAACAATACTTTTTCTGGCCGATGAAATAGAGATAACGTATATGGCATATTTACTCATTAGGATTAGCGAATGAGATTTAATTTATATTTATTTGCTCATTTTATTATGAAATGTGTTGTGTGGGAAAATTTATGTGACACGTGGGATAGCGACAGCGTTACACGTGGCCATATTTCTCTTCACAAAGTGACAACCCTCGACGCCTGAAGCTCACTTCCCTCTTACACTGCGAAGAAAGCCCGCCTTAGGGCGTCAACCCGTTATGCCGTCGATCCTATGACTTGTGCAAATTCCCTATGCCACGGAAGGATCGGCGGCCAGAAGAGGCCACCACCCGCTCAGCATAGACGTCGAGGGAAGATCATGGGAGGCGATGCCCGTATCTCCAGAAAGGTGTTTAACACAACTAACTTGCGTCTGGCACTAGGAGATGTCTGCAGTGCAGGCATTAATTACAAGCCCCTAAATCGCCCAACAGTGAACGGTGGAGGGTTACAGGGAGTCTATAGAGCCGTAATAGAAGAGTAATTGGATGAGTGTACAGTTCAAAAGGTGATTACTGAGCTACGGTCTAAGGGTAGGCTACTCGAGTGCTTCTGTCTACGAGAGGAACCGCCCACGAAGGAACCCTTGGCTATAAAAGGGGCAAAGCCCCAAACGAGTAGGGGGAAATTCCTTTTAGTTTGGCTCATTTCATATTCAACCCGAGAGTAGAAAGGGAGAGTTATTGTAAAGAATCCAAAAGAAATAAAAAGAAAAATGGATGTAGCTCTTCATTAATAAAGTGAATCACTATAAACCTTGTGCATTTATTTTCATACAAGCACAGTCCTCCTATTATATTTACCACAAACTTCATACACGCTTTACTACATCACTTTCAATATCAAATAAACGCTTGTTAGCCGGTAACCTGACAGGATACCTAAAGGTGACCCGGCGTAATCCTGTTGATGAAATTTCACCGTCAACAAAATGTGAGTGAAATTGATGGGCTGCACTCAAATTTAGGATTGATAAATTTTGGCAATCCCATAACTCTACCTTCCAGATTGAAACTTTTATTTCTGATATTAACATTAAATTATTATTTTACCCTTAGTTTACTTATAAAATATAAAATGAAAAATAATAATAATAATTTCAGTCTGATTCCTCACTTCAAATTCTTTTCCACTCTGATTCATGGTCATTTTGATTATGCATAGGTAAATATGCCAATATAGTTTTCTTACTGGATGGAATTTCTATTCGGATAAGGTTGTTAATACAAAACTTTGCTTTCTGATGTGAAAACCATACTAAATTTGGATAAAATGGAAACATTTGGTGTCGGTACATATAGTAAGACCATCTACAATGCAAATGTTAATGCTAATTTGATATTTAGCATCAAAAAGTAAGCTATGATATGTTATTTTTATTTTTATTCCAATGCATTATGTTTTTAAAATGCTAAATTTATTTTTTCTTATAATCATTAAGTTTTAAAAGTCGTAGGAGTAAATACTTATTTTTAAAATAATTAAAAAATGTAAAAGTTTCAATAATTACATGAAAAAGTAAACATATCAACTAATAGTAATTAAATGTCAAATTTTTTATATGCTATATTTGGTGGGAAATTTACCACAAAATATAGTATATGAAAAATTTGACACATATTATTTGCATTGGATAGTATATTTTGCACTCGAATGTTAAATTTAAAATTGACACAGAAATTATAGCATTGCATTAGAAATGTTTTACCGGTGATGATGAAGAACATTTTAAAATATTCATGGTAAATAGCATATTTATAGTAAATTCATTAACAAATCCTATTTATTATTACGTTATAAACTTTATTTTTTAATCTACTTACCATAAATACCCGTACCACAATATAAAAGTGTGAATGGTTTTTTTTTTTTTTTTTTTTTTTTTTTTTTTTTTTTTTTCCCCTCTTTTCCTCTTTTTTTTTTTTTTTTTTTTTTTTGCGTTTCGTTGCCCTACTTTCGTCCTTTCCTTTTTTTTTCTTTCCACAATTTTTTTATTTGTACTTACTTTCTTTTTATTTTTAAACTATCCTCCATTTTTTCCTTTTTTTTATCTACCTTTTTTACATTTATATCTTTTTTATTTTTATTATACATTTTTTATTTTTTTATCGACCTTTTTTACATTTTTCTCTTTTTTTATTCTTATTATACATTTTCTTTTTTCCTCTAAATTGGCTCTTATGAATATAATTTTTCTATTTAAATAATTTCTTCTCACACATATTTCTACCTAATTTTTTTTTAAAAAAAAATCATGTTCTTTTAATAAAACATTTCCTTAGTGAGTTTTTTTTTCTTTTTTAATTTTCATTCTTTATCCTCTCTCTTTTCTTTGTTTATTGTTATAATTTTTATCTTATTAAAAAAAATCATGTTCTTTTAATAAAACATTTCCTTAGTGAGTTTTTTTTTTTCTTTTTTAATTTTCATTCTTTATCCTCTCTCTTTTCTTTTTTTATTGTTATAATTTTTATCTTATTATATATTCTCCTTATTTCCCTAAATAAGACCCTAATAAATATAAGGGAAATAGTAGAAAATATGTCAATATGAAAAGCTTAAGAAATTATATAGGCCAATTTTTAGTTATATAAATTAATAAGTCATAACTTGTCAAGTTATGGTTCATAACCAGATAAATTATGGACAAACTTATCAAGTTATTGTTCATAACCAGACAAGTTATAGACAATTATGGATAATAACTTATCAAGTTATGGTTCATAACCAGACAAGTTATGTACGAAAACAGTAATTTGACCTATTTATTAACTTATGTAAACTATTGGTCTATTAATTTTAATTCTTCTCTAGTCTTAACCAATTTCTATCTTTCTCCCTAAATATAATTTGTTTTTTATTCATAATCTGGTTCAACTTTTTTTTTTTTTTTTTTAAATAGGAAATCCGTTTCCGAACATTCTTCAGTCACCTACTGGCCCCAAGTGGTTCCCCTTGCTAAGGCCCATAGCACAACCATAAGCAAGCCCGAAACTTCACTCTTCACTTCACTGAAAACAGTGGTTCCAACAAGGCAGATAGCCGTTATCCATGACATCCTCGGCCACGTCCTCACCGGCCACCTTCCTCGCATTACCCTCTTCTCCCCTCTACAATGGCCGAAGCTTCACGCGCCGCCTTTCGCCCGCCTTTTCACCCGCCGGAACTCGTCGCCTCTGCCGCAGAAGCTCCGCCATTGTCGCCGGTACCACACAGAAGAACGCTTTAGAGTACAGGAAACTCGGCGATTCCGACCTCGTTATTAGCGAAATCACTCTCGGAACGGTAAGCAGATGGTTCTCAGTCGCGTTTTAGATACGTATACATACATGTATATATGCATATATACTGTTTGTGTAAATGTTCAAGAGAATGTAAATTTCATTTTGTTTTTGAAGATGACATTTGGAGAACAGAACACAGAGAAAGAATCTCATGAGATTCTTAGCTATGCGTTTGAGCATGGAATTAATGCTCTTGACACTGCTGAAGCCGTAAGATCCAGAATTTTTATTTGATTTTTATTTTTGGATTCTGAACGAAAATGTGTGTGAATTTATGAATAATTTAGGCTCGGATTTTGTGTCGCAGTATCCAATTCCGATGAAGAAGGAGACACAAGGAAGAACTGATCTTTATATTAGTAGCTGGCTTAACTCTCAGCCCCGTGATAAGGTCTTGTCCTTTTATTTTCTGAAATTGATAAGAAAAAGTAAATTGTATGAATTTAGGTGGAAATTTTTATCCATGTTTGGGAACCTTTTTGATAGAAATATGACTTCAAAAGATAATAATCGTTTTGGATTAATGATGCGTTGTTTCGTGAATAGATAATTGTAGCAACAAAAGTGTGTGGTTATTCAGAGAGGATGAGCTACATTCGTGAGAATGCGAAGGTATTGCGGGTCGATTCTGCAAACATCAAGGAAAGCGTGGAGAAGAGCCTTAAGCGTCTCAACACAGATTATATTGATTTATTGCAAATTCATTGGTATGTTTATATAGGTATATGTATGTGTATAGGCATTTATATCATTGGGTTTTTTTTTTCTCTATTTAAGTGGGGATGCGGGGTTTGAACTCGTGACTCAATGTTGATTGAAGGCAGGAAAAAACATTGCTTTCTGTAGCTGAAAGTTTGTTTTCATATGGGTTTATGTATGTCGCATAACAACCTGCTTCTCTTCCTGAAGAAAAACATGATTTCGAAGAGGTTAGAGTTTGTTAGAATGACTGCGGTAAATCCCAATAGAGAACCCAATACCTTAGGCCCAACTGACTTATCTGATCAAGAGGATATATAAGATTATTAGTGAATGATTTAGTCGTTAATATCATTAGAGATATTTATATTCTTCTATTAGTAGCGTAGATTAGTCTTTTACTCCTTTACTTGTGGGTCTATATAAACCCTCCTTATTAGTTTATTTATTATTGTATGTTTCTGCAATTTCCATCATAAGAAACTCTAACCTCCCTTTTCTCTCCTCTATTTCGTATTGGGCAATTTTACAAATTCCTTAGTATTAATTCTCTGTATAGCTGTATCTTATTAATGCTAGACAGGTGCATAGTTAGTTACTGATCAGATATATTTTCTATATAACATTCTTTGTACAGTTTCAGCAGATTTAAGAAATGTAATCAAATTCTCATTCCCAGTTTAGCTTCCATCTTCTTTTCTGCATTTCTTTACAAAACCCAGAACCTAGTATTTTCTTGGTTTCTTCTCAGCTGTGCTCTTTTTAAGTTTTTGTACCATGTTTGAATCCAGGCCAGATAGATACGTGGCATTGTTCGGTGAGTTCTTCTATAATCCTACAAAATGGAGGCCGAGTGTGCCATTTGTGGAGCAACTGAGAGCTTTTCAAGAACTTATTGACGAAGGAAAGGTAAAATTCCCAAAACTTTATATGGTGGCTTTTAATTTATGTTTTTACTAGCTGTTTATGTAATTTCATTAAGATTCTTTGATTAATATGGCATGAGTGGTTTGAAATTTTATAGGTGCGTTACATTGGAGTGTCAAATGAGACTTCCTATGGAGTGATGGAGTTTGTACGTGCAGCTAAAGTTGAGGGACTACCAAAGATCGTTAGCATCCAGAATAGTTACAGTCTGCTTGTTAGATGCGCTTTTGAAGGTAAAGCCATCTCTTCACACGAAGTGGAAATATGGAATCTTAAGAATAAAAAAAAAGGACGTTATGAATTTGCAGTTTCATATTGCAGTGGATCTTGTTGAAGTATGCCACCCAAAGAACTGCAATGTCGGCTTGCTAGCTTATTCTCCACTAGCTGGTGGTGCACTGACAGGGAAGTATCTAGATAGCGATTCCGAAGCTGCACGAAAAGGAAGGTTGAACCTCTTTCCTGGCTACATGGAAAGATATAATAAATCTGTTGCAAAGGTACGTTGCTAACTTATTTTTCATATGTGGTATGGCATAAAGGTGTCAATGTGCATATATGCATGTGAGAGTGGTTTTGCATCCTGTAGTATTTCCATTACAGCGCATCGGTTAAGGTGGTGGGTCTGATTCAGTGCGAGGCTTGTTTGTTTTCTTGTTCAGGAAGCAACAATAAAGTACATCGAATTAGCGAAGAAGCATGGCGTAAGTCCAGTTCAGCTTGCTCTTGGATTCGCACGAGACCGGCCATTCATGACAAGTACCATAATCGGTGCAACCTCTGTCGAACAACTGAAGGAAGACATTGATGCTTTTCTGACAACCGAGCGACCTTTGCCAGCAGAAGTGATGACAAGCATTGAAGAAATCTTTAAGAGATACAAAGATCCTGCAATTCTTTGAAAACAATTTCTTTACTTTAAAGTATCACGCTATTCTTTAACCCTTTTGTATATTTTGTAAGTTCTCTTGCATTAATTTCAATTTCCTTTCCTTGGTCACCATACTTAAAACACATAATTGCAAAACATCTCTATGTCTCACCTAAGAACGTGCGAGTAACAGAGTCCTTATCTTCCGTTTTGTTCGCTGTTTCAACACATTTACTTAATATGCGTTTGTGTTTAGCAAGCCAATAACAAAAAGATGACAAATACAAAAATTAATACTGATGACAAAAAAATTATTGGTTTAATTTCAATGGAAATGTGTGGAATAGAGCATAAAAATATATTTTACCCGATAGTGTATTTTGGAAGTACTAGTTCCTCGTATACGTGCATTTTTTTTCTTTCAATGTTGTACTAAGATGTAGGATAAACTAGATTTTCTCCTAAGTTTCACCTGATTTTTTTCAAAGGAAATTCCTAGAAAATTTTATTTTCTCATGCATAACTATGACAAAGTTTCAAATAATCTCCGATTCAATTTTGGACATTAAAACACATTCCGCTTTATAAAACTATTGGTTGATTTTTTTTTTTTTTTTTTTTTTTTGCAGAAATATTTTATGGCTTTTTTAAAAAATATACTCAAATTATAATTTTTAATTCTGACGTTTAACATTTAAATTTTTTATAAGAAAAAAATATTATACCATAATTAATTATTTAAATTTAAATATATAAAATAAAAAGGCGTTTAGTTTTTACTGATGAGTTGAGTTATTTTGGTTGAAATTATTTTCATACCCTCCTTTCCCATCGGTTAACTTCCAAAGTTTAATAAGCTTTTTGGTTAAATATTTGGAATGGGACAAAACGGTATTTGGATTTGTATTAAAAATGTTTAAAATATTTTTTAATAACAATAAAATAATCATAACACAAATGGTAGTTTTTTGGGTGTGTTTGGAAGCCTTTTTTTAAACTTTTTTTACGTTTTTCGAGGCGCAAAAAAATGGAATTGGCTTGCAAAACGCGTTTGGCAAACGATCAAAGCTCGTTTTCCTTCCCATTTCTCCTCTCACAGAAGCCCTCCTCTTTCCTTTGTTTAATTAACTTGGCGGCCTCCTTCTTCTCTAGGACAAGTCAATCCGAGCACTCTCCGCCATCTCCGGATCTGCGATTCTCGAAGAACTCCTCCTGAGACGCCCGGAGACTCTCATAAGCCATGCACAGGCACTTCTTCAAATTACCACCACCGGCCTTCTATTGGCACTTACAAGCAACCGTCGTTCCCAAATCCTCTTTCTCTGAGTTCTTCCTCTTAGCGATCACGAACTTCTCTCCCGGATCTTATTCTGCGGCAAGAAAACCACCGGGTTAGGGTTAGGGTTCTGGCTCTTCGAAGCAGATTTCTGAGACTTGGCGGATTTGATCGCAAGGGGTTCGTCTCCGATTGATCTAGGCCAAGTATCTTCCCGTTTTTTCCCAAATCAACCAAGGCATGGCCATTAATCTTCTGAATCTGTTCGCGATTTTGCTAATTTAAGTGCTTAACTCCCAATTTTTTTTTTTCCATTTGATTGCTTCTTCATTTAGTGTTGTTGGTATACCAAAAAAATTATTTGTTATAAAATGTAAAAAAAAAAAAAATTTGTTTATTAGGTGTACAAGTATTGCTTCTCAACGGCAACGCGCTTTGGAACTCTGCTCCAAATTTGGTCCCAAGAAGAGCAGAAGATTAAGATCAAGAACACGAAGAAGGAGGTTGGTACTGATTCAAAAACAGATCATATCTCACTCATTTTCTTTAGGATTCAGATTTCATATCCATTTTTCTCATTATCGCATTTCCTTTCTTTTCGATAACGCAAGCATATCGCTTTTCTTAGCCAGGTATTCTGATTTGAATTTCTGTATTTTCCTTTTCCAATGCCGTATGATTTCAATGCTTGTAACTCTTTTTGAATCTTATGCAAATCTTTTTCCTTTCAAAAAAAAGAATATGCAAATCTTACTGATATATAAAAATATTCGATGAGAATCTGTCCGATGCTGCAGGGTAATTTATTTTCATTTCTTGAATATGAATGAAATATATTGCAGATTTAGACATCAGATCAGAGACATTTCCATCTTACTTTCACGTTTTCTATTTCTCCTTGTTATTACCTTTGCAAAATTTGGCGGCTATTTTCCATCATATTCGGGATTTTGGGTTTAGCTTTGATTGATCTACGCTGAGTGTCTGATTTTGGCCGGTTCGTCTCCGATTGATCTTGGCCTAGTATCCGCCGTCTTTCCCCAAACCAACCAAGGTATGGCCATTAATCACTCTTATTTAAGTGCTTAACTTGACCTGTCCGTGATTTTGTGATCATTTGTTGGATTTTCTGTGGGTCTCAAATATGTTAACCTTGTTTGTCTGAGATGGTCGTGTTCTATTTTTCTTGCATGATTGTGTTTATTTAAGCAATTATTTTTAGTGATTTAGACATTCATCTGATATAATGCTTTTGCATATGATGCTCTGTATTTAGTGGTTTTGCTTCGGTTTTATGACTAGACAATTTCATCAATTTAATCATTTAGACATTCAGTTGATATGTTTGGTTGCTGAGAAATCATTCAAGCACTTGAGATATTTCATAATAATAATAATAATAATCCATACATAAGCTTAAGCTACTACTGTAATTTCATTCTTATCTTACTATCACCGGAAATAAGGAAAGTAGGATGTTTGACCTTGTTTCCCATTTAAACCGGTCAATTAGGGGTTGTCAGATAGATTAGGAAAGTAGTTTATTTTTTAAATAAAAGAGATTCCTTAAAATAAGGATCTCCTTTAATTGAGGGATTTCTATACCTAATTAGGTGGTATGTCTTCCCTATAAAAGCCGTGTAAATGTTGTACAGTTTAATAGAGCAATATACAATTTTTTTGCCCTAGAAACCCACATGGTATCAGAGCCGTCCTCTCCTTGATGGCTGAAACGGCGGCTACAGAGGAAAGGAGATCCTCTGCTTCATCTAAGGCAGAGAGCTCTAATATTGGTGAACCATACCAAACCACCATGAATCACGGGGGGATTCTTCTCATATTTCGTTCCAACTAACCCTCCATAAATTGAATGGGAAGAACTACTTGGAATGGGCGCAATCCATGAAATTGGCTATCGACGACAAGGGAAAGCTAGGTTATTTGACTGGAGATGTGGAGAGACCTAAGGCTGAAGATCCGAAGCTGAGTGCATGGAGATCCGAGAACTCATTGGTCATCTCCTGGTTGATCAATTCCATGGAGCCAACAATAGGTAAACCGTACCTTTTTCTCCCCACCGCTAGAGATGTTTGGGAAGCGGTTAGGGAAACCTATTCCGATGCCGAAAATTTTTCACAAATTTTTGAACTGAAAATTAAGTTGTGGAAGTCTAGGCAAGGTGAACGTGAAGTGACTGTCTTTTACAATGAGATGGTGTCTCTGTGGCAAGAATTAGATCAATGCTACAATGATGAATGGGATTGTCCAACCGATAGTGTTAGGTTTATGAAGAAGGAAGAGAGTGATTGGGTGTATCTTTTCTTAGCAGGCCTAAACCAGGAATTTGATGAGGTTAGGTCTAGGATTCTTGGAAAAAAAAAAACCCTTGCCTACACTTTGAGAGGCTTTTTCTGAGATTAGGAGAGAAGATACTAGGAGGAAGGTTATGCTGAAAAACGATTATGAGGTGAAACCAACCAATGGTGCTATCAATGACAGTTCGGCCTTTTGTTTCAAGGAATGAATAAGAGAATGACAGGAAGAAGAAACCGTGGTGTGATCATTGCAAGAAACATTGGCATACACGGGGAAATTGCTGGAAACTCCATGGGAAGCCTCCGAATTGGAAGAAGAAGAATGCTCCAGACAATCGGGTACTTCAAGTATCCACTGAAGAACAGGGGCAGCAAAGTACTCCAGAATCACTTCCTTTCACAAAGGATCAACTAGAGCAATTGTACAAACTTCTCCAATCTCCTCAGTTCTGAGTAAACCCATCAAATCCTTCATGTTCCTTTGTCAAAACAGGTAAACATGTCTCTGTCCGTGTCTCAGTTTTTTCCAGCAACTACCCCAGTCAAAACAGTTTCTGGATCTATGATTTAGGGCTACTGATCACATGACAGGCTGCTCCCAGTTTTTTTCCACCTATACTCCATGTGCAGGAAATAAAAAGATAGGAATCGATGATGGCTCATTCTCGGCAGTTGCTGGAATAGGAACTGTCAAGATAAATCCCTCTATAATCCTACATGATGTCCTTCATGTCCCTAACCTTTATTGTAATCTTGTGTCAATTAGTAAAATTACTAATGCTCTCAATTGTTGTATTGTTTTTAACCCCTCTCGGTGTGAGTTTCATGAAATGGTTTTGGGGAGGACAATTGGCAATGCTAGGAAAAATGGAGGACTCTATTTCCTTGAAGGTGGAACCAACTCTGGACAGCAAGTTCAAAATACTTGTTTGAAATCTATTTATGTTTCTAATAATGTTATGCTTTGGCATTATAGACTAGGATATCCAAGTTTTTATTACTTGAAACACTTGTTACCTTATTTATTTCGAAATAAAAGTCCATATTCTTTTCGATGTGAAATATGTGAATTGGCAAAACATCATCGCTCTTTTTTCCCTTCAAGACCATATCAAGCTTCAAAACCTTTTTTGTTAATTCATAGTGATGTTTGGGAGAGTCACAACAATGTTTGGCAAAAAATGGTTTGTTAGTTTTATTGATGATCACACACGGATTAGTTGGGTTTATTTACTAAAGGATAAATCTGAGGTAAAAGAGATTTTTAAAGTGTTTTATACAATGGTTAAGACACAATTTCAGGAAACAATCAAAGTGTTCAGAAGTGACAATGGGAGAGGATACTTTAATGAAATCCTAGGGGATTATTTTTCAAAAAAGGGGATAATACATCAAAACACATGCCCAGATACACCCTAACAAAATGGGATAGCAGAACGTAAAAACAAACATCTCTTAGAAGTCACTAGGGCACTACTTTTCACTCATCATGTCCCTAAGTATCTTTGGGGAGAAGCACTATTAACTGCAACATACCTCATAAACCGCATGCCTACAAAAATCTTGAACTTCAAAACTCTCCTAAATACCTTTAAAGATGCCTTTCCAACTTCAAGATTAATATATGATTTACCTCTGAAAGTATTTGGTTGTAGTGCCTTTACCAATATACATGACCAAAATCGGGGAAAATTATCCTAGAGCTCGGGAGTGTGTTTTTGTAGGCTATGCTCCACACCAAAAGGGGTATAAATACTATGATCTGAGAAAAAGAAAAATGTTTGTTACTTTAGATGTAACCTTCTTTGAAGATCAACCATTTTTTGATAATCATCTTCAGGGGGAGAGCCTAAGTGAAGATTATTTTGATTTTCTTGATTTCCTTGGCACATCTGATAATGTTCAAAGTCAAAATTTCTTAATAAACGTGGAATCTAGTGATTTGACTAATGAAAACTTGGATGCTAGAACTATAGAGCCATCTCATAATATTAGTAGACATGGAAATAATGAACAAGCAGGAACAAAAAAGTTACTTGTCTACTCGAGAAGGAACCAGAAGCAAGGAAATAAGACTGACACTTCCCAACACTGTTAAGAGTCTACACCTCAGATCATTCAGAATTATATTGTTGTTCCAGGTAATTCTCATAAAGTCCCCACTCACATAAATCTTCCTCATCAAGAGTCTTGTCAGTCCGAACCTACTCCCATAGATCCTCCACATCAAGAGTCCTGTCAGTCCGAACCTACTCCCGTAGATCCTCCACATCAAGAATCTACACCTGCGTCTGAACTTGACCTTCTAGTTGCTCAACGTAAAGGTGTCAGAAGTTGTGTCAAGTATCCAATGTCCAATTTTGTTACCTATAAAAATTTGTCCCCAGTTTTTTCTGTGTTTGTCTCACAATTATCTAGTGTGGAGATTTCAAAGAATGCAAGATGCTCTAGAGGTTCCAGAATGAAAGGAAGCTATTCTTGGAGATTTCAAAATTTGTCCCCAGTTTTTTCTGTGTTTGTCTCACAACGTAAAGGTGTCAGAACTTGACCTTCTAGTTGAAAAAAATGGAACGTGGCAGGCAATGGAGCTACCAAAGGAAAAGAAGATAGTTGGCTGCAAATGAGTGTTCACAACCAAGTTTAAATCTGATGGATCCTTAGAAAGATACAAGGCTCGCCTGGTGGCTAAGGGGTTCACTCAAACGTATGGTATTTGACTATCTTGAGACCTTTGCACCCGTGGCAAAGATGAATACTATCAGAGTGCTTTTAACAATTGCAGCTAATCTAAACTGGCGACTTCATCAACTAGATGTGAAGAATGCATTCCTCAATGGTGACTTAGAAGAAGAAGTCTATATGGATCCACCTCGAGGTTTTGAGAAGAATTTTGGCTCAAAGGTATGCAAACTAAGAAAATCCTTGTACGGCTTAAAACAGTCACCGAGAGCCTGGTTTGAGAGGTTCACTCAGTTTGTAAAAAAACAAGGATATGCTCAGGGACATGTAGACCACACCATGTTCACAAGGTACTCAGCTGGTAGGAAGATAGCTGTTCTGATAGTTTATGTTGATGACATTATTCTTACTGGGGATGACGTGACAAAAATAGAGCGGTTGAAGTAGTGCCTAGCCTCTGAGTTTGAAATTAAAGATCTGGGTTCACTTAAGTATTTTCTCGGTATGGAGATAGCTCGGTCAAAGAGGGGAATTGTGGTGTCTCAGAGGAAATATGTGGTGGATTTACTTAAAAAAGCTGGAATGTGTGGATTTCATCCTTCTGAAACACCCATTGATCCAAATCATAAGTTTGGGAGCAAGGAAGGAAAACCGGTAGATACAACTCAATATCAGAAGTTAGTGGGAAAACTAATTTACTTGTCACATACATGGCCAGACATAGCATTTGTTGTGAGCCTAGTAAGTCAGTTTATCCATTCTTCTCATGAGGAACATCTTGAAGCAGTCTATCGTATCCTTAGATACTTGAAGAATTCTCCGGGAAAAGGCTTATTTTTTAGAAAGAACGAGCAGCGAGGTGTTGAGGCCTACACAGATGCAGATTGGGCAAGGTCTATTTTAGATAGGAGATCTACATCAGGCTATTGTACATTTGTGTGGGGAAACCTAGTAACTCGGCGAAGTAAAAAGCATAATGTTGTGGCTCGTAGTTGTGTTGAAGTAGAGTATGGATCAATGGCACATGGAATTTGTGAAATGTTATGGCTTAAACAGATCTTAGAGGAACTGAGAAGACCAGTGACTATGCCTATGAAGTTGTACTGTGATAACAAGGCATCCATTAGCATTGCCCATAACCAAGTCCAACATGATCAAACTAAACATGTTGAGATTGACAGGCATTTTATAAAAGAAAATATCGAGGCTGGAGCTATTTGTATGCCCTTCATTCCAACATCGCAACAAGTAGCAAATATTCTCACAAAGGGATTATTCAGACCAAGCTTTGAGTTTCTTATTAGCAAGTTGGGCATAATAGATATCTATGCACCAACTTTAGGGGGAGTGTGGAAATAAGGAAAGTATGATGTTTGACCTTGTTTCCCATTTAAACCGGTCAATTAGGGGTTGTGAGATAGATTAGGAAAGTAGTTTATTTTTTAAATAAAAGAGATTCCTTAAAATAAAGATCTCCTTTAATTGAGAGATTTCTATACCTAATTAGGTGGTATGTTTTCAGCCGTGTAAATGTTGTACAGTTTAATAGAGCAATATACAATTTTTCTGCCCTAGAAACCCACACTATCACTTATTTTCATCTATGCTTTATTTGTCATGCTCTTTTTTTTTTCCTGAAGCATTTTTATGTATATAACATATATTCTAGATCAGTGTGTAATTGTACATGGTATATAGGTAAAAGTTGTTTTCTTCTAATAACTCTCCTCTCTCTTAAACACATGCCAACAAAGTTTAACCTAGCATATGCATTTCTATGGAAAAAAGAGAAAAAAAAAGGAGATTTGGGTTTAGTTGGCATGTTTGCTCTAGAACTTTTCACAGTTTGGGTTTAGTTGGCATGTTTGCTCTAGAACTTTTCATGATTGGTAGGTTATCCCTTAAACCATTAATTTTCATAAGTTACCCGTAAATTTAACAAAGTGTTGCAGAGTGCCACCAAATCAATAACAACTATTAAACTTCAAGGAGAAACACATTCATACAAGTCATGTGGGCTCATACAAAAGAAGAGGAGGTTGAAACTTTGGATGAAAATTGGAGCATGTTATGTCATGAGCATGGGGATATTTCATTCCAAAGTCTAAAATCATTCATCAATTTGGAAGCACTATACAACATTCTATTAATTTCAAGAGGTAATTTGCAACAATTTAAAGTTTAAGAGGCAACTTGCTAATTCTATCAAAATCAAGAGGCAAAAGTGCCAACAACCAAAGAAGGAATAATTTGCACTTAGGAATAGCTCACTGCAGAAATTCTGAATGGGCACAACTTAAGCTTTCCTTTCTGACAGTACTTGATTAACTGGGTACCTTTCTTCAAGGCAACAATTGTCTGCAAAGAGGAAAAATTATATTAAGGCAAAATATGTAACCCCATCTTATATATATATATATATATGAAACCCCATATAAACCAAATCTAAAGCTGAATTCTTTTCTGTCAAAAAAAAGATCAATGTGTTTTCTGATCCAGATTTCTTATTTTGTGTCAGTACTAACAAATCAATGCATTATTATTGTTCATAGATCAAGAATGAACTCTTGAGCTAATTATCTAAGCAACGAAATTCAGAAAAAAAAAAAAAAAAAAAAAAAAAAAAAAAAAAAAAAAAAAAAAAAAAAAAAAAAAAAAAAAAAAAAAAGACTTGAGAGAGAATTTTTTCTGAATTTCGTTGCTTAGATATTAGCTCAAGAGTTCATGATCTATGAAAGGGCGTTTGGTATGGGATAATCTTAAAGGTGGGAATGAAAATCTAAAAGATTTTCATGTTTAGTACAATTATTAAACTTTTTTAAAACCTAAAAAAGTGAAACCCACGAAATTCACATTATCACATTTTAAGATAATTCTAAACCCACCCACCTAATAAGGTGTTATTTATTTTCCCATAATATTTACGGGAAACAATTTGCCCTACCATATCTCTCACCCACCAATCTCACCCATCTCTCTCTCTCGTCCAGACCCAACCTCTCTCTCGTCCAGACCCAGCACCGCTTCCGTCGAGGACGCCGCCGCCGCCTTCCGATCCACCACGCCGTTGCTGGACTTTCCTCTGCTGCCGAACTAATCCAGTCTTGTGGCACAGACGACTTGAACATTCTGAGAAGCAAAGCCTTTTCTCTCTTGCCAAGTTTCTTTGCAGAAAAGCCCCTGACGACGCCAAGCTTGAGACTTTCTCTGCCTTCTTCTGCAGCCCTTTTTCTGACATCCATCAACAGACCTGTACCTTGGGTAGTGGGATCCGCATTCTTCTCCTTATTTTCACTTCTCTCTCTCTTTATTTGTTGATTCGGCAGCGTGGATGGCTCTGTCGCCGTTGTAGCCATCGGGAAAGCCGCTTCCCCACCACTTGTTGGAGACGGTGGATAGGCCCTCCGATGGGAATCTGCTTTTTAATTCGTCCAAGGTCGTTATTGATTTTGCCCGGGATGCGTTTGTCACGATTTGGGGCCGTCCGGAATGCGAAGTCTTGCCTCCGGATTCCTGGTTCTACAATGATTTCGACATTTTCGCTCCTGAAAATTGGGAAACTCTCAAAGCAGTTGAGGAGAAAATGAAATTTCGAAATTCTCAAGGAGGTTTGAGATGAATCAGAAGTAGAATCCAGAAATTGAACAGAAATTGGAGAGGGAAAG